GCACACACACACACACACACACACTCTCACACACACACACACACACACACACACACACACACACTCACACACACACACACACACTCTCACACACACACACCCACTCCCACACACACACACACACACGCACACACACACACACACACACACACACACACACACACACACACACACACAGGTTAGGGTGGGAGTAAGGTTCATCTCTAATATTTCAGTTTAACCTTGATAAATAAACCAACAAGACCTTTTCAATAATTAACAGTCCCTTACCACAAGTCTAAACCAGTGTGACAAACACACACACATACAGTACATTCACACTCTGATGCTCCAAAGTCGAAATATAAACGAGTAGCTGTAGGACGGGCAAACAAAGCCATACATGTAAGTACACGGTAATACACTTTTAATTTTACCATTAACTCAGCGATTGCAGTAAGGCAAGCGCTCACACCACAATTGTGAATTACTGACTATGCGAGAATGTGCTTTGAAGAACATGATGGTAAAGAGGAGGTTTTGTAGAGGGATTCTAATGCAGTGGGGGTTTTTAACACTTTTTTGGGTAAAGTGCTCCCCTGGGAACTCAGTTAGCGCCCAGTGATCAAAGTTTTGACAAAAGAGCTCGGAGCGTTTGATACACTCTGATACACACTCAGCAGGGAGAAGATCTCAGCTTCAAACAGTGCAGATCACAGGGGAAACAAGCACCAGCTAAAAGCATCACTCGCAGCCTCACACAACAGGATGGAACCACAAAAACCTACACTAATAAGCTGTGCTTTTATCCTATATTAAAACACATAAACAGTTTATATCCGTGACAGCGCAGACACCATACGTGGATATGGGAGTGTGTTTGTCATTGTTGGTCGGGCTGTTGTGTCTAGCTGCTCTTAAATGCCCTTGAGTCTCACAGGCCCATTACAGCCAATTAAGATCCACATAATCACAAGTGTGTGCAAAACCGCACAGCACCCAACGCTCTGTCTTTCTCTTTCTCATTACAGGCATATTGTAGAAATTAACAACTGCCAACTTAGGTTAATTAAAAGTGATTTCCCTGGGGAACAAACAGTAACACGCACACATATTCTGGGTTTTATCGATGGATTCATCTATTGGTGGAGCAACTATGAAGTAAATTTGACAGGACAGAACCCCTGCGGCTGACGCATGGTATTATTGCACTTGGGTAATTAGCAAATATTCCCTAAAAATGGTTGTCCATTCAAATCATTTTTATAGCAGAAATGATCACTTTATATGAAATCTTAATTTGTGGGCTTTAAACTCTATTTGTAATATTTAATATTATGAATCAGGGGTCTCATATTCATATTAAATGATGGCTTGTGCTATAAAAATCCTACAAAATTACAAGATAACATTAATACAGAGCACTGCACATGACATTTGTTCCCATGACTTATTAATTCGTGGTCACTTTTTATTCATTTGTTCCCTCATTTTAGTGATATTGTGGCCACGTTTTACAATTTCTTTCCTTTGTTTTGTTAACTTATAAGTACTTTGTAGTAAGTAGTTCCCTCGTTTTAATTTAGTTAAATCGTGGTAATGACTGAACTAAAATGAGGGAACAAATTAGTACAACATGGCCATGATTTTACTAAAATTAAGAAAACAAATTAGGCTGTGGGAACAAATTCTTATTACATGTTCATAATATCTTTTTTTGTGAAAAATTGATTTGTGGGTTGGATGAGTGAATAAATTATTCCTAACATTTAAGGAGGTCAGAAGATAACACAATATGTGGGACGGATTTAGCTTGTGGAGGCTGATAGTTTAAAAACAGTTATAATAGAATACAAAAAAACACAAGAAAGTGAAAATTAAGATTATGAAACATGACCTGGGCGTGAGCCTGTGTTATCAACTTGAGCACCAAGGAATAATATGCCTGGAACATGTGTTGCTAACTTCTGCATAGCTAGATGCAAAAAAAATCGAGGGACCCAAAATAGGGAATTGATTCCCACACATAAATGCTGTTGTCCAAAACTATACTCTTGTTTTTTTGGCATTGCGATACTGGTTAACAAACACTTACCTATGATGTAATAGTCTCGTAAGTTCTTGAATTCGTGACCCCACAGGTTGGGCGAATACTCCTGGAACTTGATGGTAAACCTCATATCGCTGTTGGGTTTGTCACAGGTGAGCAAAAGGTTTGGGGTGCCCATCACCTCACACCTGTCAGCCTGCTCTCGTGAGGACACCAGGTAGAGTTTATAATACTCATACTCAGGGGGAGAGTTCGGCCCAGATGGACTCGTGGCAGCACACACAAGGTCCAAACGATCCCCTATTTGAGGGTAGAGTATGTAGCCCCTTTCATCTCCAAACCTGTAGAATTAGAGCGAGAGAGAGAGATGAAGAGTGAGTGACAGACAAATGAGTAATGATCATTTCCATGGAAACTGAGATTGACAGTTTGATATTTGCTTGTGTGTACGTGCATATGAAACCTCAAGGCCTGTTTGATGCTGAAACTGCCCTTTTGTTCATACATTTTTTACTGAAAATGTAAACATACATGCCCTTTGGTTCAGGAGAGTGTGTGAGAGGGCATATGTGTGGTTTTGCTTGCCAATATGTGGGGATCACGTTTTGCCAACAATAGTAAAACTTGAAATTACTTAGATTGTGGGAGACAAGTCAACGGCAAACCTGTATGACTTTCTCTATGAAAAACAAAAGATTATATTTTTTTAAATTGTACTGGTCGCTCTTTTCTATGCTCAAACACGTGCACTTTATGTAGGGTTTTAGTGCTTTGTGTTTCTGCACTGATTTGTTGTTTGATGTTAATTTATGTTGTTATCTGTCTTGTGTTATAAATATTGTTTTTTTTCATTTATGTTGTTCTGCATTGCACCTTGGTCCTGGAGGAATGTTGCTTCGTTTCACTGCATACTGTACTGTATATGGTTAAAAATGCCAATAATAGCCTACTTGACTTGAATTATGATGAATGGAGACTATCAAGTTTCAAAAAGGACACAAAAAAGTATCATACAACTTGTGTGCTCAATTCAAAGTCTTTTGAGGTCATACAACTGCTTTATGTGAGAAACTGAATGAAATTTCAAAGTCATTATTCACCCCTTCAGCAAGATGTTAACTGCTGTGTCCGGATCATTGAGTCAATAAAGTTGAACTTGACAACTCGATCATTTTCATTCCTGAATTATTCATTCAGACCAGGGGCTGGATTCAGGAAAATCTTCTTAAAGAGGTTAAGAAATTCCAAGAAATTCATAAGAATGTTCCTACAGTAAGTGCAATTCTTAACAAATTCTTGTGAAGTTCTTAAATATGGTTCTTGCCAAAGACCTGCTGATCAACTCAATGTAAAACACCTCAAAGTCTGTCTTTTTGCAATGCTTGCCAATAAGCACACACACTATTGGCAACTGGCTTGACGGGAATTCAGTGGTCTGAAAATTAGCACAGAGGAAAGGAAAACAACACATTCTGTGTGAATGGTCCCTCAAGAAAGGTTGTTTGGGGAGTAGAAGACATTCTTAATTTTATTCTTAAATAAGAAAGTAGAACGAAAATAGCGGTTAAGTATAATTTTATTCTTAAGAATATTTTGTGAATCCAGCCCCTGGTTGGTTAAGCTGAATCAACCGGATTCATTTGAAAAGAACTCAAAAGAATGATGCTATTTCTTTCATGAACATACCAAAGACAGTAATGGAGAACGTTTATGGCATATTTTTGTTATTGTGGAGCTTGGCAATCTCAGTCCTCATTATTTATTTTTTTATATCATATAATATACTTTAGTTTCCCACAGAATAATGTCCGTCATATGTTTCTGAAACACAATGCTAATTGTTCTGTGAATGGTTCCTTTGAAAAATATAAAATAATGTCTTAATAAAAAACTAATAATGCAGTAAGGTTTCTGTGAGGGATAATAAAATAAAAAATAAAACTTGCTATAAAAACAAGTAATAGAAAGAGTCTATCAGTGGAGACCTTGATAGAAAAACAAAAAAGCGTGTATGTGACGAGAGCATTTCGAAATATATGAACACTTTCATAAAAACAAACAATTATTCAGTATTTTATAGCACATTCTCAGTCAAACCAAGGCCAAAGCTGAAACCGCACTTAAAAGCTCCTATACCTCCATCCTCTTGAGGAAATAAAATTCTAGCATTTAGCAGACTGACATTTTAGCTCTATTCAGAGTCTTGTTCTGAAGTTGAAAATTCACCTCACAAATAACCCCACTGCAGATAAAAGTATTTTGCAGACTCATCTCTCCTCATGCTAAGTGTACAAAGCTTGACATTTCCATTAGGCCAAGACATCCAAGCAAAACTCCAATTAACCACACCACAGTTTGTAAGACACCTTTGCACAGACAGATAAGATAAAAAAAGCTTCCTAGTCAGGATTTTTTTTTTTAACCATGTGAGAGCAAGAGCACCTGATCTGTGGATCAACACATATCCATTAACACACTGAGTTTAGGCCTCAATCAGCTGTCTGCTGCACCAAACACACGTGACCAAAACACAACAAAAGTCAATGTGATCTCAGCCTTTTCATTAGCTACTAACATGTGGGATCCGACTGAGAGCAAATATCGTAATCTGATAATCAGACCCTTTAATTTATCAAACGAAAACGCACTCATCTCTGTTTGGTGAAAAACACACACTAGGCCTTCTGTGTTTACATTGTGCTGTTACTGTATTAAGTTTGACAACCATGAGCACATAGCCACTTGCATGCACAAATAAACAAGGGCAGTCAATTTAACAAGTTAGTGTGATTTAATCAAATATTAATCATATCCATAAGAAATTCAAGCTTGAAGGAGCTGTTCACACAGGTTCTTGCATTCAAATTTTTCAAAATGTGTAAAAAAAAAAGTACTTTTACTTGACACGCCTTCTAAAAAAAGCTCATGATGCCTCAAATCTCTGACTCTCATTGTAAATGAGTGATTTCTGGCTGCTGCAAACTGCTGTCAGTGTTAAGAGTCAGAGAGAGAGTGTAGAAAATGGTCATAAAATACTCAAAGTGTAATGGCACGTTTTAATTTTAAAATGGCACGTTTTAATTTCACAACAGAGGACAACAGCACATTTCGTCTTACTTGTGTTTTCTTGAAGCTCAAATGGATACGTTAACCTCAAATCCTGCCACCCTGCAGATCCCAACTGTTTTCCTTCAGTCCAAGCGGAAGACATTTCTATCAGAGAGCTGTCAGACCCCTGCTGAGAGATACGAAGCACGGCGACCGTTACCAAGACCACCCCAGAATAACAAAGGACAAGAATCAAATCTCAGCATAATACAATTTACCGATAGAAGCAAACGTAACATGCTGCATCTGTTTCTGACTACACTACACTATTTTTCAAAGGCCTTTGAACATGTCAAAATTTCTCTGATGTGATCACCAGTTGACGGGCTGAATGCATTTCTCTTCCCTCCGCAGGAAAAAAACCCCAGCTTTGCTTGTTGAAAGAACTGAGTCTTTGTCCGTTAGTGGTTCAAGCGAAAGCGCAAATATTTTGTGTTCTTTGCATTGGTTATCAGTGACAATGACAATGCTAAATTTCCTCTCAGTTTGGTGTTGGTGGATTTTGCAAACATATTTATTCATGTAAAAGGTGATTTTTGGTTTAAATTAGAGACAAATCAAACATCCTTTTGCACTGACGTAAACAGGCAATCAAAGTGATAAATGCCTACATATGTATTCTAAATGCTCTTTCTGTGAGCTCCATGAACTCTGATTTTAATACACCACCATCTGAAAACTGATATTTTTATGTATGAAATATGCATGAAAATGCCGATGTTTATATTCATTTACGTGGAAATTTAAGACAGGCAGAAAAGGCATTCTAACATGGGAAATATAGCTCTGCAACCTAGACACAAACCCCCACAAATCAGTGATTAAGCACTTTAAATGTAAATGTCACAGAACAGACATACAAAGCTGCAAAAATGGATCATTCTGAAACTGACACTGTATTAAGTTTGACAACCATGAGCACATAGCCACTTGCATGCACAAATAAACAAGGGCAGTCAATTTAACAAGTTAGTGTGATTTAATCAAATATTAATCATATCCATAAGAAATTCAAGCTTGAAGGAGCTGTTCACACAGGTTCTTGCATTCAAATTTTTCAAAATGTGTAAAAAAAAAAAGTACTTTTACTTGACACGCCTTCTAAAAAAAGCTCATGATGCCTCAAATCTCTGACTCTCATTGTAAATGAGTGATTTCTGGCTGCTGCAAACTGCTGTCAGTGTTAAGAGTCAGAGAGAGAGTGTAGAAAATGGTCATAAAATACTCAACTATGACTTGAATTGGTGCACTATATGTAGTCAAAGTGTAATGGCACGTTTTAATTTTAAAATGGCACGTTTTAATTTCACAACAGAGGACAACAGCACATTTCGTCTTACTTGTGTTTTCTTGAAGCTCAAATGGATACGTTAACCTCAAATCCTGCCACCCTGCAGATCCCAACTGTTTTCCTTCAGTCCAAGCGGAAGACATTTCTATCAGAGAGCTGTCAGACCCCTGCTGAGAGATACGAAGCACGGCGACCGTTACCAAGACCACCCCAGAATAACAAAGGACAAGAATCAAATCTCAGCATAATACAATTTACCGATAGAAGCAAACGTAACATGCTGCATCTGTTTCTGTCTACACTACACTATTTTTCAAAGGCCTTTGAACATGTCAAAATTTCTCTGATGTGATCACCAGTTGACGGGCTGAATGCATTTCTCTTCCCTCCGCAGGAAAAACCCCCCAGCTTTGCTTGTTGAAAGAACTGAGTCTTTGTCCGTTAGTGGTTCAAGCGAAAACGCAAATATTTTGTGTTCTTTGCATTGGTTATCAGTGACAATGACAATGCTAAATTTCCTCTCAGTTTGGTGTTGGTGGATTTTGCAAGCATATTTATTCATGTAAAAGGTGATTTTTGGTTTAAATTAGAGACAAATCAAACATCCTTTTGCACTGACGTAAACAGGCAATCAAAGTGATAAATGCTTACATATGTATTCTAAATGCTCTTTCTGTGAGCTCCATGAACTCTGATTTTAATACACCGCCATCTGAAAACTGATATTTTTATGTATGAAATATGCATAAAAATGCCGATGTTTATATTCATTTACGTGGAAATTTAAGACAGGCAGAAAAGGCATTCTAACATGGGAAATATAGCTCTGCAACCTAGACACAAACCCCCACAAATCAGTGATTAAGCACTTTAAATGTAAATGTCACAGAACAGGATCAGAATTCACACAGAATATTCATTATCGATTCATCACTGCAGAAT